CCTAATATATATAACGATAAAGCAAAATTCTTGATTGTATCACTATACATCGTAAATTATTGCTTGACTTTGTCAAATTGTTAGCGATAGTATCAATAAAATGTTTTAAAAATCCATGTTTATTTTTATTATCTTTATTCTCGGTGCCAACTTTCTGATATCAAGTAATTAATTTTTGTAACAATGGATGTTTATTGATAAAATCAAATGATAAACTAGGATTAGCATCAACATAACTACTTGCCATAATTTTTGTTGTTGTTGTTGTTTTAAAAAATCCAATAAACAATTCAAATTATTTATTAACCCAATTTTTACAATAAATTTTCCATTATCAAGCTGGAAACATGATCTATCTCTTATCATTAAGAAATTGGATTCCGAACACTCCATATTAAATAGTATATCGAAGATATTCGGATTTCGAATAAGAGATTGTGTAGATGTAATTGATTGAAATTTCAGAATATCCACCATTTGTTGTCCAACTAGTGCTTGAATAAAACCAAAAAAGTCATCGTTTTTTAAAGAAAAAACATTTTCTGTCAATATATCATCCATAAGAAGAAAAGTAACGAATTTTTTTATTTATCTAGAAAAAGAATAGAAAAATGAGTTCGATAATGGTAGTTCAGAATGTGTTCAGAGGCTAAGATTTACGACATTTTTTTTGGAAAAAACTTCCAGCTGATAAACAGCTGTGATGAATCATATGTCGATAATCTGAAGAAAACATATATTCTCGTAAAAGGTGAAATGTCGCTAAAAATTACGAAATATTAATCACAATAATATAGAGAACGCAACTTCAGAAGCTATTGGCTGATTATATTCCTGAATCATGAGTTACGTCATAGATGATATCCATTACATTTTCTTCCTTTTCATGTACATCGTTTTCGAGAGAAATTTCTTTTCATAAGTAATTAATAACCAAACATGTTTCAATTAGATGTTCTTATTGATACGTCTGTATTACCACCAAATGTCATGTCATTACGTGATGATAAATTTATTGATTTTGTTAAGGGGACCCCCCTTTCCCGAGCCAAAAAGTTTTTTTCTTCGATTTTTTTTTTCATATAAAGGTGTATCAAGGTCTCCTCTATGTGTGCTATAAAAATCAGAACCACCCAAGGTCGGGAAGTCTGTGAAAAACCAGGTTTTTTGGAGACACGTGCAACAAAAAAAATTTTTTTTTTTTAACATAAAGTTATATTATGATATGGTATACCTATACTTACGTATAAGCGGAAAAAAAAATTTTTCTACAAGTTTTTTTTATTTTGCATTTTTCTCGAAACCAGTTTTTCGGGTATGAAAAACCAGTTTTGCCCCCCTTTTCTCCGCCATTTCAAGTCCGATCAGACTGAAAATTTTTTTGGCGAGACTTCAAGTGATTTGGGTTGGACGTTTTTTTTTTTTGGATACCTTCTACTAATCAAGTTTGGCAGCCTTCGCAAAATTTTTAGGATCCAAAAAACCTAGAGATTTTGCGAAGTGCCCAGTATTTTGGTTCTCCAGCCTGAAGTATTTGGAATTTTTGAAAAAAAAAAACGTCCGCCCCGATTGGGTCCGTCTACCCACAGTAAAAATTTCAGCTCAAACGGATGAAATCTGTGGACTTGAGGGGGGGCAAAACTTTTTGCAAGTTTTTGGCCTCGGGGTCTCTGGAAGTCCATGAAGATGACGTCTGGCAAATTTGTGTCCATGACAACTTTTGCTCTACTACTCGAGGTCTATCTACCCTGAAAGTTTCATGAATTTTCGTTAGGCCGTTTCTTAGAAACGCCGGAAAAGGGGGGGGGGGTACCCTTAAAGAAGAAGTCGGTTATGCTGCTGCTGCTCTACTTGAAGTACAAGGTATTAATTGTGTAAAGTCATTGCTGATGACAGATAATGTTTTTTCTGTTATGGACTTGAAGAGTAAAAGTTTAAATGATTTTAAAAACAAATATGGTTATATGCAAGACGATGGCACATTTGTTATACAACCTGAAATAAAAGGAAATGTACAATATCTTATTGATTTGTTGAAGAAAAAATGTATTGATGATGCAAAATTAGCTAAATTATCCAAACGTAATCAATTATTATCATCACTAGATAAAACCACAGATACGTCATCAACAATAACAAAAGCAACGTCGCCTGTTCCATCCAATAGTTCATCAGAAGTAATAACATCAAAATCTTCTAATTTATCAATTAATGAACATAGAACATATCTAATTGATACATTGAATAGCTGGTGCGAAAACAATAAATCAAAATTTGATTTATCACAATTATCTTTAGTTGAAGGTCAACATTATTTTATTTCGATATTTGATGATCCAAGTGGTCTATTAAAAGGTAATATAAAATGCTGTTGTAAAAAATCGTTATCATTGACAATCTTCCGTGGTAAATTTCAACTGTCGAACTTCTACAGACATTTACAAGACTTTCGTAAGGGTAACACATGTAACACAATAAAAGAAATAATAAAAATTCATCAATTAACGTCATCAACAACAGCAGATAATCAACAATTAATTGCAACTCCAAATACTGTGCCACATCAAGGATCATCATCACTAAATTTTGTACCTTCCGCACCAGTATTAGTCACAATCCCATCAAATTCAACATTTTCTACATTGTCATCTATCTCAATATCAACAGATGCTCATGAAAGTATTGAAAAATCGTCCTCATCATTAAAAACTAAAAGAAAAGTAAAAAGAAAGTTTAACTCAATAGAATCTTCGTATAATACGAGAAAAGAAGCAAAAAGAACGAGAAGAGAATAAGATTTACATACGCAACACTGTCTTGTTTATACTTCTCGTATTATTTCTTTGATCGTATTCCATTCAGAAACATTTTTTTATTAAGTCGATGTTTTTTAACTCAGTGATTTACTTATTATTTTCTTAATTGTTTATCTTTTACATAATTAATTGTTTTCATATGTATATGTTCGTTTTTTTTAATTGGTTTTACATTTTATTGATCATTATTAAGCAAATACATGAGATGCTGATAGTAGTAAAAAATCCTTTTTACTTTGAATGAACGGTTATTAAATAATCTTTGTATAGTCTCTGCGAAAGTCTGCATGTCTTTTTCACTGACATCATATTTGTTCTTTGTTTTTAACAGCTGATTGCAGAAAGCAACAGATCTTACGCTAGCATTGGACTCCAGAACTTCAGAGAAGACCGGAGTCTATTGAAGTCCAATTAAGTTCATTGAAGTCCTGAAGTCCGCTGTTTCCCCCTTGTCATAACCAGATCTCAATGAGGTATGAAAAACCTAAGAGAATTCATCCCAGCATGCCTTTGTTCCAGAGATACCGAATTTTTAAGAAATCTTTTTCAT